CTCACTCTTAAATGTGATGGCGCAGCCATTTGAGGAAAGGCTCTACAGTGAAAGTTATGGAAGAAAACAAACAGAAGATAGGAATGATGAGCAAGAAAATAATACAAGGAGAAGAACAATTTTTAAAATCTATAAATAGTCTCACGGATGAGTGAAAATGTTAATATAATGACAGAAGAAAGTAGAGAGAAAACTCAAAGAGATGGAAAATGGGAGAGAAAAAAACAAGAAAATTAGAGGATCAATACAGGAGATTTAACATTCTGTTATAGAGGCCCCAGAGACAGTAAGAAAAATGAAGAGTATTTTTTCTAAGATATAATGTGAGAAAAGTTCTCAGCAATAAAGGACATGAGTTTCCAGATTAAATGGAACCACCAAGTTCCCAGCACAATAGATGAAAACAGGCCCACAGCAAGGTACATCACTGCAATTTCAGGATACCAGGAAAGACCATCAAAGGACGGTTACAATAAATAAATCACAGGAATCAGAATGCCTGAGACTTCTTAGTTGCAACAGGAAAGCTAGAAGTTAGTGGAGAAACATCTTCAAAGTTTTGAAGAGAGAGTGATTTCCAACCTAGAGTTCTATACCCAGTCAAACTATCAAAAGAAGAATAAAGAAGCTGTGTTTGGTGACTCACGCTTGTAATTCCAGCACTTTGGGAAGCTGAGGCAGGCAAATCTCTTGAGGTCAGGAGTTCAAGACCAGCCTGGCCAACATGGTAAAACCCTATCTCTACTAAAAAATACGAAAATTAGCCTGCCGTGGTGTTGTGTATCTGTAGCCATGCCAATTCAGGAGGCTAAGGCAGGAGAATCACTTGAGCCCAGGAGGTGGAGTGTGCAGTGAGCCGAGATCGTGCCACTGTACTCCAAGCTGGACAACAGAGCAAGACTCCGTCTCAAAAAAAGAAGAAAGTTATTTTTAGTCATGCTAGGTCTAAAAATGTTGCCTCTGACACAGTACTTTCTCAAGAAAATTACCAGCACACGTTTCACCAAAATGAGGGAATAAAATCAAGAATGAGAAAGATGTGAAACACAAGAACACTTATGTGACAAAAAGTTGTATACGAAAGAAAAGGTAATCTACTATCTGTGTCAGCATGCTCATTAAAATGTAAACATTAACTTCTGATTTAATGTAAAAATTTTTTAAAGATACAGGAAGAATGGGAGATGGAAAATATGTGATTGGGAGAATGTTATTTTGTGTATTTCAGGGTGGGGATGGTTAGAGGTAGTAAAAGACCAAAAACTTAAGATACAACAACATGAATAGATTATTCAAAAATACGAAGGGAAACACAGCTGCTAAAAACCTGAAAGTAGCTGGGCAACTTGGAAATTGCTCATTTTCATCAACAACTATGTGGTACTACATGATTTTTTAAGCCATTAATATGCATTACTTTCATAAGAATAAAAATACCACTAAATAAGTATATCATTAAAAAGGATGAAGCAGGTAGATAGGAACACTTTTTAGAATACATTAAACAAAAAAATGAGTTGTCAAACAAGTATGAATAGCATCATATTTATGTTTAAAAAACATCTACAACACACACACAGGTACTCACTCATATAACACTAAATTCATAGAGAAAGGTTTCATCAAACACTGGAAGGATAGTAGGATTGGGGTTGGGCAGGGATGGTGGTAATGGGGGGCCTTTCATTTTTTTCTCTATGTATCAGTATTAATTTTTTACAACAAAATATAAAGAGTTTTTAATAACATGGGTAAATGTTCATAGTATATTGTTACAGGAAAAACAGATATAAAGTATGTATATTTTGTATGCATTTAATGTTAAGTTTCTAAACTTAACCAAAAAAAAATCAAAAGAACATTTTCATCTCAAACAAAGTATTACTCAACTCCCAATTTAAGGAGTGGAAATTAATTTGCTCTGAATAAAACAGGAGCAGGGATCCAGTGCTCTGGTCAGTCAGCCACCTACCTCAGTGAGGCCTTCCAGGGCTCCCAAAGCAACAATGAAGTTCCTAGTAGCACAGTGTGAAAAACTACCATGTCATAAAAGGGACTGAAGAAAAATCTCAGAAACAGATTTCTGAGATAGGGGATTATGTTTGATTTTTCTTTTGCTGTTATATGATACACATACATACATCCCTTTTCTATGATTTGATACTGTTTAAGTAATAATTATCTTCTCCGGTAACACCTATATAACCACCTAAACCTGATATATTTTTAGAAGGATGGGGATTGCAATAGAGCTTTATTAATCTTTTAAAAGTTATAATTCTATACTCATTGCCTATTTCTCAGGCCAACTATCATTTGTATTTTTCCAGAAAATTTTCTGTTTTCACAATTTTTAAATTTATTGAATAAGTTTAAAATTTTATTCTTTTCATAAATTCAGTTTTTTAACTACTATTTTTCAATTTTACTTTAGCAATATTCCCTAATAAATTAAATTATAATTCCTTTTTCTAGTTTTGGTTATTTTTTATTACTATCCTTTTTTTTTTTTTTTTTAGTTCCTTAAAAGTCAAGTTCATTGTTTTCTAAATTTCTTATTTATATAAAGGCATTCAAAGCTATAAACTTTCCCCTGAGTATGGTTTTAGCCACATCCCTAAGGTACTTGTTTAGTGTCCTCATTGTCATTAATTTCTAAATAACATCTAATTTTAATTTTTATCATCTTTGATCCAATTGCTATTTCAAATAGATGAATATTTTTAAACCTTTAATTAATCTATTATTATAGTTTTAGTTCACTACCATAAAAGTCAGTGACCTGTAAGAATTTACTTCTCTACTTTGAAATTCTTGGTGTGATTTAGTACATGATCAATTATTATAAATGTCCCATTTAAAAATAATCCTTCAGTAGCCTCCTTCACAGCCAGAGTATGCCTCTGCTTCTGCTGTTCCTGCACTATTTTTCACTTCCCTTTGGATGTCTCCACTGTCTATGCTGAACTGACTGCAACTATCAGTAATCATCTCCTTCATGTTACGTAAATTCCCAAACTTTCTGGCTCATGGTGGCTTCCTCCGACATTAGGGAAATAGTTTTCTCCTTTCTTTCATAATTTTAATTGAATTTTCTGAGAACTCAAAGGTACAAATCATGGGCTCAAAGTGTGGCAAAGTATGTAAGAACTCAGTCTCAAGAATCCAGAAAGGCCAATATTTGAATTCTGATTTTATTTGCTGTAGGATCTTGAATATGTTACTTAAATTTTCAGAGCTTCTGTTTCCTTATGTTAAATGAGAATAATTATGGTAGCCACCATGTAAGCTTGTTGAGAGAGGTAAGTGAGAAACTGGAGAAAAGCACCAAATATATCATTTGACAAACAGTAGTTCTCAATAAACATTAGCTACTCTTGTTGAAATGAAAACTCTGGTCTGAATTTTTTTTAGTTAATGTCAAACAAAAAGGATGTAACATTTTCTATCATAGCGTGATCATACAGATAATACACTATGTGGATATGCTTGATAATCCCAACATATCAAGACTGTTACCTAATCACAATACTACAGCCGAACTTCATTCACTACATTTGATCACCTGACATTTGTAATCTGTCTGTTCTATAGAAAACACTTAGAAAAATTTCTTTTCTGTGAATCTACAGTAGTTATGAAAAGATATACCACTTATTCCAGTACTTTTCTAATCAAATATTCAAGTATATACCCAAAAGATTTAAAAGCAGAGACTCAAACAGGTATTTGTACACCAGCATTCAAAGCAGTATTATTAATAATAGCCAAACGGTGAAAACAGTATCTACTGATCTAAGTATCTATTGATGGATGAACAGATAGGCAAAATATGGTCTATACATACGATGGAATATCATTCGACCTCAAAAAGGCAGGCTATTCTGACACATGCTTCAACGCAGATGAACTTTGAAGGCATTAGGCTAAGTGAAATAACTCAGACACAAAGGACAAATATTGTATTATTTCATTATGTGAAGTACTATATTGAGAGTAGTCAAATTCATAGAGACAGAAAGCAGACTGATGGTTGCCAGGCGTTGGGGAGACAGGAGGATGGGGAATTGTTTAATGAGTACAGATCTTCAGTTTCATTAAGACACAAAGAGTTCTGGACACTGAATGTATGAAATATGAATATATTTGAAATTACCGAGTTGTACACTTAAAAATAATTAAGATGGTGAATTTTATGTTATGTATTTGTTGCAATTTTTAAAAAGTAATCAAGTGTCTAAGTGGTAGACATCTTTATCTGATTCTACATAGTACTATTTATAATCACAGTAAAACATTTTGAAAACATGTCATGCAGTAGACTAGATATGTCATTCAGCTTGTTCAGAAGGCAAACGCCAACCTTCTGCTCTCTCACACTCTGGTTCACTGCTCCTAAGTCCTTTGGAGGTAGGGACGGGGCTCTCATACTTTACCCATAAATACTTTATTTTATTCTCTGAAAGGTATATATACAAGAATAAGAAGTAGAAGTGTAATCCTGCTTGAGCAAATCTACCCTAATAAACTTCTATTTGGAAAATTCTTTATATAGAAACATTTCACTTATAATAGCAGAAATGAAAATCATCTAAATGTTCTACAGTGAGAGAATGGCTAAATAAACTACACAGCAAATGGAATATTACATAAGTGACAAAACTAACATGTGAATGAAAATGGAAAAGATGTTTCTATAAGAGGTGATTTAACTATGTAAAAATACATTCTAAAAAGAGGGAATCAAATATCATGTTAATACATAATTACTCTTGAGAAAGAGGAATAACAATCCCTCCTTGTCTTTATACTTTCTACACTTTGCAAATATTCTGTTTTTGTTTTTATAATGCATTTCAGTTCTTATATTTTTGTTTTTACAATGTGTTCGTTTTAAAAATCATAATTTTTATAATTATACCTTAAATCACATCCTTTATTAAAATAAATAAGCAGAAAACAGAGAGTAAAAATTTAATATTTTCTTCCCAAGTACTCACATTCTCAGGTATGCTGGGAAGTTCTCTGGTATCAGGCACAGTAAAATAAGAATGCTAGAAGAGAAAAGCAAAAGTGATTTATTTCTGCCAAAATGTACAATAATCACATTACTCAGAATTCAGGTAAATGATTGGAAGATATTTCCTTACCCAGATAAGGAAATGGCTTCACTCATAAGAAACAACCATGTAATATTTTCTTTGGGTATTTTCATATTGAACCAGATGTATTAAATCATCACTTTGGTAGATGGGGGTTCTTTTCTATGAGAGAACTTCCTTGGCAGATAGAAATGAAGAGCTCACGCCAGGAGTAGTGGCTCACACCTGTAATCTCAGCACTTTGGGAGGCCAAGGCAGGCAGATCACATGAGGTCAGGAGTTCAAGACCAGCCTGGCTAACATGGTGAAACCTCACCTACACTAAAAATACAAATTAGTGAGGCGTGGTGGCAGGCACCTGTAATCCAGCTCCTCGAGAAGCTGAGGCAGGAGAATCGCTTGAACCTGGGAGGTGGAGATTGCAGTGAACTGAGATCAAGCCGCTGCACTCCAGCCTGGGCAACAAGAATGAAACTCTGCGATAAATAGATAGATAGATAGATAGATAGATAGATAGATAGATAGATAGATAGATGATAGATAGATCGATCATTCAAAGAGGTTAAAAGGCTAAATTCCTATATGAATTTTCCAGGTTTCTAAACACATGAAAGCTGTTGGTTTCATAATTGATTGTTCAATGATGCAAGCGTATTCTAGGGACAAAATATCACCAGATTCACTCAGTGATGATTTTTACCAAACAACCACCTCGTTTCAGCATCTGAGATTATATTCATCTACAAAACATGGCCAAAATCTGCCCCAAAGGCCTAAGTGATGTTAAGACATGTTCCAGTTGCTGGAGCACTGAAGGTGAGACCATTGCAGATGACCAAAAGTGGAGAAATTCTGCCCACGAAGCCCACTCCATCATAAACCTCCTGACTGGAGACTGAGTGGAGTTGAAAAATCTACCTCTTCAAAGAACTTCCAATGAGTCATCTCCATACGCAACAAGCATGCATCCCTGAGTTAAATAACAACAGGCTGAACTGATGACACCTCCTTTGCTCCTATTTAAGACTCAGGACAATGGCAAGCAGGAATGGAAAGAGCCTGGTGCCGGCCAATTAAAGATGGGATTATGCAAAGGCCAGGAAAGGTCACATGCAGAGAAGGTCAGCTTAGCCATGGCCTAAGTTCAAACCTGGACCCCCAAGTGACATTTCAGGAAGTTGTCCACCGCAACCTCCACTCTTGGGTGACTGCAAAGTAAGTGGGTCTCTAGAAGAATGACTTGTATAGGCTTTCTGAAATGAGAGGCCCTGGGGACAATGGTAATGATGATGACAACAATAATAGTATAAGGTACTTGTCTAATATTTAACAGATATTTGTTGAATAGAATACCTGGTACATGAAAGGCATTATGTCTAATACTCTAAATGTTAGCTCTAATTACCATAATACATTTTGAGACAGATATTATCTCCAAATTACAAATGGGTAAATTAATGCTCACAGAGGTCAAGTAGTCAAAGATCACACAGCTAGTAGGTAGCAGAAAAAGGACCAAAACCGAATCTGTGTAACTAGAGCCATGCTCTTTCCACTGTAACAGACTGTTATATCTGTCCTTTTTATGTGCAAATGACAGCTAAAGGGACTTGAATGGAAATAATAAAAAAGTAAAAAATAAAAACTATAAGAAAGATAACTTAAAAAAAAAAGCCTTCTTTGATGGATTATTCCAAAATCTGTGTGTATGTCAAAATACTACCTATGAAGTATTACAGAAGAGATGGTGTAGCATGGAAATTAGTAAATGACTAATTCAACAATGAAGATTAAAACAGGAAAAGTAAAATACAAGGTTCAAATATGACTCAGTGAGACACCAACTTCTATACCAAAGGGCTAGAAGTTTAGTTCAGTAACAGGTCATGTGGTGACAGAGTCACCAAGTAATAGTTTGGCATAGTGAGAAGGAAAGAGCTCAGACCAAAGAACCAGCCACTTAATAGCTATGTACCTTAGCAAATTCACTTAATAGCACAGAACCTCAGTTTTTGAATCTGTAAATGGGAATCATATTATCTACTTCAAAACTGTTGAAGAATAAATGTGATATATATGAAGTGTCTACTGTTCAATAAATGGTATTTTAATATAAAATTATTATTGCTCTGAACCGCTAGTTCATATTACTATTTTTATCAATTACTCATAACAGATACATAGAAATATTCTCCTGCAGAGAGCGACTAGAGACAAAAAGTTCAGGATTACCATTTTATCAGCATTTCAGGATGTATTACCTAGATGAGAGTAGTCCTTCAAAATCAGAAATGCAATATGGAGAGAGGAATCCCCAGTGAAAAGGAAAGAAAAAAATATCTGCCTTTACAGATGCAATGGATAGTAAATAGTGAGCCAACACAATTCTAAAACCAAGTAGTCCCCAGGCTGTCCTTTGAGATTCTGTCTTGCTCCACTGCCCATGAAATGCTGGGGACCAGGAGAGGTCAGAAACATTCCTAGAAACCACTGGCATGAAACAGCTGCGCCACCCCAGCAGTTCCTGCTGCCCCTGAGATGGCTTGTCCTTGAGGCCTGGCATGCACTATGCCTGAGCAGCCATTCGAGGGAAGGAGTGGACCTTCCTCCCCAGCAGCTGGTGACCCAGCTGGGCTACTCCACAGCTACCTGTCGGATGTTATTACAGACTGAAGTGGTGAGATCAAGCTGCAGAGACAAAGGCAGGGTTGCTTAGCTATACAGCAAGGACTAGGGCAGCTTTAAAGCTCATTTGTTCATCTTTTCCAGACGGTCTCCCCTGCCGTATAAGAATTTTTGTAGCAAGGTTTCTTTCCTTCCTATGTTCTACTAAAATGAGCAAAAATCTTTGTAAATTCATTTTTTTTTTTTGGTTCCTTCCTTCCTTCTCTTCTTCTCCTTCAACACGTATGGCACAGTGGAAAGAACACAGGCTTGAAGTTAGCCCTGGCTTTGAAAACTCAAGTCTTATCTCTTATTAATCACATGACTTTGGAAGGGCAAGTATCTTTTCCTCTTGTAACCAAAACCTATAAGGAATTAATTTTCTTTAGGAGGGAAGATACCTTTCCACCACTGAATACCAACACTGTACCTGGTTCTAATGAAGATGAAAGACAAAACTCTTAAAACTTTCAGGCCCCATGACTTAAGGGAAATAACCCCTGGATAATAATCAATACCTGGTCAAAGTACGTCTGTCTGAGAGTTCTGATGAAGGTAGTGACAGGGGCTTCAAGGTTTGACCTGGGGAATTAGAGAATTCCTGGAACCAAAATATGAAAAAGATCTCCTTGTATCTGGGAACTGAATGTAGAAAGCAATATAATATAGCTGTACATTTTACTTGAATCTAGGCAAATAATTCATTTTAGAAACTATAACAATAANTCTTCTGATGCCTTATCTGAGCGATGAGGAAACTGAAGCCGACAAGGTTAAAGGTCTTGATTAAGGTCACTCAATGTCACAAGACAATGACTAGGATGGAAATCTTCCAATTGGTATTTCAGAGCATGCTGCAGAAAATGCGGTAGCAGTACATACTTACAGGCATTCAAAGAAACTATTACTGAAGGCCAGGAACAACACTAAACACTCTCCTTCTCTGTCCTCAAGGGACACACAGTCCAGTGAGGGGGACAGGGAAAGGGATCATTCCAATAGGGTGTAACTAAGTACCGCAAAGCATGTAAGATGCTTGGGGCAAAGGAGGTGATCTTAGCTAAACCTCCGAGGTATCAAGGGAGGATTTCTCTGGAAATAAAATCAGAGTTGAGTTCTGAAGGATGAATATCTGTTACCCTGGCATACAGGGGACAGGAAATGTTGAAAGCTGAGGGTGCAGGATGGGCTTCAGCAAAGGGACACGCACAGCAGTGCTGGGGAGCGAGGGTGATGCAGGGAGGCCGGGACAGGAACTCAGAAAGCAGATGGGGCCAGCTGTCCTATTTCACCCCAGCATCTGTGATCCAGGAGATGCTAGTGATGCCAGGGATGATGGCCACAGAGGAGCCTGAAGACATTTAAGACCTGTCTACTTCTTATAGAATCTCAGAAAAAGGAGGAAATTCAACTCCCTAGCCTACCTTGAGCCCAGAGGTGTCAGAGTATTTGGGGATGGGAGAGGGGAGGTACAGATGACAAAATACAATACTCTTCAGCTAGCTCCTCTTACTGTCAATAATGAAATGAGTTCTCAGTAATGGCTAATACTCTGCCCCACTTACCACGCTGAGATGAACAGACACTCCTGGGTCAGGGATGGGAAGTTTGTGCAGAGTTTCAAGGAGCTCATTCCACTGATTTTCCTGAAAGAAATAAAAGGCCTAAGTAACAAAAGCAAGGCTGAGCCCTTAGTAAGATACCTGCAGGGAGGTCTGGGCACACACAACTAAGGGGGTTGGGGAGATGCTGGCCTCAGCACAGAAATAAGTTTGATATTCATGTAGGGTTTGACAAAAGACACTGCATATGCCTCAAACATAAGAGCCAAATAGATCCTCCTACATCAAGTTTGACATTTTCTACTCAATGAGACACCTACCATGACCGCCTTTTATGGATCATATACCATAAGCTCTCAGCAAATCTATCGCCTCAACTCCATAGCAACAACTTTTAAATGCAAACAATCCTAGCTTACAGGGTGGGGGTGGCTGGGAGAAATAACGATGACAGTGTAGATCTTGTCTTCATCATCATTACCCTCAATTAATTTCATTGAGTGTTCACTGGGTACACATGGCAGCCTCCAATTATGGAAAGTAAGAAATGAACTAAGTTCAACAGCATGCAATATAGGACGGTAGCTATGCATTTTAACTCATGAAATTGAGCAACATAATGACATACAAAGCAATACAAATTATTTGATTGAAAATGAATTCACCTCTAAAATGCTCAAAAGAACAAGAACACTGCTCACAGAATTATCCAAATGCCATTTCTCCCACCCTGTGGAATTCTCTGTACTAATATAATACTGCTAAGTGTATATCTGTATCCACTTATCCTCTCTTTGACCCTCCCAAATACCCACTTCACAGATGTGAAAACTGAGGCTCCAAAAGGTGAAGCAACTTGTCTCAAATTAGCCTGTTAGTAAGTTGCACAGCTAAGGGGTGAAATGCAGGCTTCAGAGCCCTCCCTGCTTCACTATAGCTGTCTATTTAAGTAGTGAATTTAAGGAAAGGCAAAAGAAGATGCACCCAGACTACAAGCTTGTTTCAATCTGAGCTCTGACAAATCAAACAAGCTTCTCAGAGAGATGAACTTGAGGGTATGTGTTTGCATGTGTTCAGTTTTGCTCTGAAACAATCTCAAACTTACTGAACAGTTATTTCCTGAACTATTTGAGAATGAGTTGTCAAGATTATGCCCCCATCATCCATAGATACAAACTTTCTCCTAAATTATCACAATTAATCATTCTTGTGGTTTGAATGTTTCCCCCAAAAGTTCATGTGTTGATGATTTGTCATTGTAACAGTATTAAGAGGCAGAACCTTTAAGACAATTATGCCATGGATTAATGTGGGCTTCTGATAAAAGTTTGACCCCCAGCTTGTGTCTCTTGTCTCGAGTGCTGCATGTTATGACCCAGCAAGAAGGTCCTCACCAGATGCCAGCACCAGGCTCTTGGACTTCCCAGCCTCCAGAACTGTGAGCCAACTAGATCTGTTTTCTTTATAAATTACCTATTCTGTGGTATTCTGTTACAGCAGCAGAAAACAAACTAAGAGAATCACAATAATAAGGAAATTAACATTGATGCAGAATTATCATCTCATCCTCAGATCCTGTCATGTTTTGCCAACTGTGCCAATAATATCCTTGACAGCAAACAATCCAGTTCAGGATCACATGTTGCAGTGTTAGTAGTGATAACTCTCTACTCATCCTGAATCGGGAACAGCTCCTCAGTCTTTCCTAGATTTGTATGACCTTGACAATGAGACCACCCATTTTGTAGAAAAACTTTCAATTGCCTAATGTTTTGTCTAATGTCTGACTTCAATTTGTCCCTTCACTGATGATGTTTGCTTTCATCATTTAACTCATTTGATATCTCTACAGTAACACTACTCTTTCTCTTTGTAATAAATAACCATTTTATGGATTGACACTTTAAGTAAATATCCCATTCGTCAAACTTTCAATGTATCCATTTACTTATTTATATTACCATGGGTCCATAGTTTCCTGTTTTATTCAGTGTGCTATAATCCTTTACCATCCTAATTTGTTCTGATGCTCAAATTGTTCCAGATATGACTAGTGGGAGCCCTCTTACTGCTTTTGTGTCCTTCTGACATGTTCCCATCACGTTTTTAGCAATTCCTTACTTTTTGGCATAAAAGATATTTCAGATTTATCTTATACTTTCTCTGCCTCAGCCCCAGAATCAGGTGATTTCTTCAATGAATCCTGGTTTCTATTAGTAGGGAATGGTTTTTAGAAACCAACATCTGGGCACCATGTGTGCTCACTGCTCCCTAGTGTTGCACATTCCAGGTCCTTTCAGTCAATGGAGCCAGGGAATGCATCACACACACATGGAACCACAAGAGGCACATCACATCTCTTATTTATTTCTATATCCATCTTCCCATATTCAAAGACATGGGTTCACACTGATGGCTCCTATTCCAATCCAACATAGGAATTATTCTAGTTTTCTCCCTTTATGTATCTGTGACTTCATTCTACGAAAGTGAAAAACCTTGCCTATATTTTCTTTATATAATTGCTTATTTGTATGGAAACACTCTTCTATTGCCATCCTTGCCTCCTTCACCATCCAGATGCCCTCCGTGCCCTCCTTGACACTGACATCCAGGGCTGGGCCTCTACCATCCACCCCCTCATACAAATGCCTTCCTTACCTCAGGATCCAACACACCAGCACTGGGTCACTGCTGCTGCCTCCCTTCTCACATGGATTCTTCTATATCCTATTTGAGTTCTGACATCCCATGCTGAGCCTCTACCACCAGGCTCCCACATAAACATCCTTCTCTCCCTTAGGCTCCAACACCCTGAGCCAGGCTGCTCCCTGGCTCAGATGTCCTCCTTGCCCTGCCATCCCTTCCACAAGGGTGCCCATTCAAGGTCTGATAAGCATGATGGGTCCACGACCCAAGCAGATACCGCAGTTAACCACACCTTGGTCTCCCACACCACAGAGACAGAGATACACACACACACACACACACACACACACACACACACACACACGCTCGAAGCCTATCTTGCTTCCCAACCTCCCAGTGACTTTTGTATGGGAGAAGGTTTTGGCCCTGGGGCAGAAGGTAGATTCTGTTTCTTTAAATAAAAACTCTTTCTGTTCTAATCTAGTGACTAACACCTTGCAAACAAAATTGTAGGCAGATTTCCTATCATATGTGTCATAATTCTTTTAACCAAAGTGGGAAAAAGAAAGAGTCCTGGATTCAAGAGACATAGACTCCAACTAAAACATGTTACTGATCTCAGTCTCTGACATCCCAAGAGGCAGAGTCCTGCTGGAGCAATGGCCCAGGAGAAAGGTTCACCAATTTTACAGGGTAATGATCCAGTCTCCCATATGCGCAGATTGTATCTACACTTTTATAAACTTTCCTGAATCACTTGTTTTAAAAAGTGTACTAAATTCTTTGTTTTGCTGACTTTCTCTTTTTTTTTTGGACTGGAGCATATGGAGGGAAAAAAATGTGAGTAAATCTCCCATTCAAACCTGTGAAGAGCCTACATATTATACAATTCTATTTATTAAAGACACCTTTCAAATTTGAGTGAAAACCTGAATGTTTGACTAAAGATAACTGTGAATCAGAAATCGATGAACAGACCCAAGGTGACCTCCTAACTCATTCATCAAAGAGTAAATCACTTCTTTTATGACAGAATCTCCTGATATCTAAGCTTCTTTTCACAGTGAGTGTAGTGATCAAAGGAACTGTTTCTATTAGTTATTCCTTCCATTTACTGTGACCTCCGGAATACATTTGCCAGTAAGTAAATCTGCCTCTAAAAAAAAAATGATTTAGTCATTATAAACACAATTTCCCACCTTTCCTCCAAAACAGCATTTCCAAAAGTGTGTTCCAGGAAAAACTGCTATCTCAGAATGCTGATATTTATCATGGAATGAAAGGAGTTTGGGGCAAAAGGAGATGGAAGCACAGGTGACACAGGTTTCTCCAATGCAGGACTTCCTAGAGCTTACATTAAATGAATCTTAAGGAGATGAAAACAAAAAACCGCTTTCCCTCCCCTGGACCCCACTGTGAATGAACTGGTACCCTTTTCATGGACCATTTCTAAGAACTAACACTCAAATTCCTCAGAACGCTCAACAAAAAAATATTAAGGAAAAATTTTCCTTAACGTTTAATAATAATGGATCACTTTAAAAATATTAGGCCATTTACAAAAAGGAAAATATGAGACATTAGATATATAGACAAATATTCAACTCATTAATAATCAAAGAAATGCAATTAAAACAATGAGACTTTTTTACTTGTCAAATAAACAATGAATTCAACAAATGATACTGATGAGAGTATTGAGACCGAGGCACTTTCTCACATTGCTGGTAAAGGGTATCCTTTAAGAAAACAGCAGAATTCTTCTAGAAAGCAGTTTGGCAAATGTTTTAAAAATGTATATGTCCACTGACCTTACAATGGCCCATCTGGGATTCTCCTTTTAAGGAAACAATCCAAAATGAAGAAAATGCTTTCCCCTCAAAGATGCGAATGGTTATACTTCTTATAACAGTAGAAAAATCCCAAACAATTAACAATTCCCAGTAATAAAAAATGCTTCAGTAAATCAAGGTACATGATAAAATATTACACAGCCATGAAAAATATTTATAACATTTTTAATAGTATGGGAGGCACACTCATTATAATGATATCTAAAAATGAGGGCTACAAAAATCTACATAAAGTTCCAACTGGCCTTGACAGCCATGGAAGATGCCTTACCTTACCGCTTCTTCCAAAAGTACAGCAAAGTACAGATGTATTTTTAACATAATTTTCAGACCCTTACGAAAGTTACTGTAAAAGCACCACAAAGCTTTATTGAAATGGGAACTCAGGACAGCTGGGTAGGTCACTTGCCAGTTAAATGTGTTACTTGCAAACCCCAGATTTGCAGCATGACACGAGCAACTGAAATTTGTGCCTCAGCAAAATTATAATTTTATACATGTCATGAGCTTCCAAGGCTGCTTGGGAATATTAGAAATTGTGAACATTAACTGTGAATATTAAGGATCTAGTTATCATTTCTTTAATGCAAAGAAAAACTTAAGGAAGAAAACAACCCAAAATGCTAGCAATATTTATTTTAGGAAAGGGAACAGGGGCAAATTATGAGTGATGATTTTTTCCTTCCTATTATTTTCCGAATTTCCCACACTTACTATACTAGGACTGCATTACTTTTTTGGTAAAATATAAGGCATGTTTTACTTTTTCATCATAAAAATTAAAGCTTATTTGTTAAAAAGAATTATTTTTAAAAGGCAAATACCTGTCTTTTTGTCGTGTAATCTGCCAGGATGTTAAGTAGCTTATAAAATACCTCGAACCAGGGGAGATAGCTGGAGGAAGAAGAGGAAACACATGAAATATTAGTATGCAGGTCAAAAACTTTAACCAGGATCTAATTCAAGACTGATACATTTCAGTTTTGCTCTACGTCCTAAAGAGTCTTCCTGTCACAGACCGCTGGAAACACAGATTGGTGAAATGCTAATTATTTCTGAGAGTTTAAAAAACTGCCTGTGTAAGGCAGAGGATTGAATGTCCATTATAAATTATTCCCATGCCTCTGAGCTAGAACAGTTCACAGAGAAGAAATTCAAAGCAGACTCCATAATCAGGCACCATCTCTGAGTAGCCCCCTGGCCTCTCCCAGCATACCCACCCTTCCCAGGAAAGCTTCTATTCAAGTTCTCGTGATGGGACAGGGACAGGAACAGACACAGACACACACACACACAGCATTCCCACTGCAGGCATCTGCAAAGGGTTGTCCCAAAAGCCCCATGAGCCCAAAGCCATCCATGTTACTCCAACAGACATTCTACCCACCACACACCATCTCTCTATCCACTTCAGCATGAGTTCCACTTCTCCATCCCCACTGTCTTCCACCAGGTCTTGACCATTGCTCCCTTCACTCTGAGAGCAGCCTGGCTGCTGACCTCAGTCCTGCAATCCACTCTGTGTGGCTTTTTTTTTTCCTTGAGATGGAGTCTCGCTCTGTCACCCAGGATGGAGTGCAGTGGCAAAATCTTAGCTCACCACAACCTCTACCTCCCAGGTTCAAGCGATTCTCCTGTCTTAGTCTCCCGAGTAGCTGGGACTACAGGCGTGCACCACTATGCCTGACTAATTTTTGTAGAGTCTGAGTCTTGCTCTGTTGCCAGCCTGGAGTGCAGTGGTATGATCTCAGCTCACAGCAATCTCCATCTCCTGGATTCAAGTAATTCTCCTGCCTCAGCCTCCCAAGTAGTTGGGACTACAGGCATGCGCCACCATAGCTGGATAATTTTTGTAGTCAAAGGCTTGCTCTGTCACCAGGCTGGAGTGCAGTGGTGCGATCTCAGCTCACTGCAACCTCTGCCTCCCGGGTTCAAGTGATTCTCCTGCCTCAGCCTCATGAGTAGCTGGGACTACAGGCGTGCACAACCATGCCTGGCTAATTTTTGTATTTTAAGTAGAGACGGGGCTTCACCATGTTGGTTGGTTAGACTGGTCTCAAACTCCTGACCTCAAGTGATCTGCCCACCTCAGACTCTCAAAGTGCTGAGATTATAGGTGTAAGCCACCTGGTCATTACTTTTAGAATGGTTTTTCTAAAATGCAAATCTCCATTGCCCATTGTACTTAATCCCTGCAATGATGCTCCATCACTCCAGGATCAAGTCCACCTTGGTTAGGATGAAATCTTGGGGCTCTACACTGCCAGGACCCTTGCCCACTGCTGTGGCTGTCCTCTCTCTACTTCCCCAAACACATGCTCCCCTCACTCCTTTCATGCCGGGAACGTGCTGGCATCTTCGAGCCTGCCTGGGCTTACATACGCTGGGCCCTTTTATCCCCAACCTTTGTGGTCTAGTCTAGTTGATCTCTACTCATCTTCCTAACGGTCCCCCACCCCCTCCCCATCCTCACTTCATGTGCCCTAATTCTCTCTTTTCTGTGCTGCCCTGGTCATGAGAATGCTGCGGTTGTAACATTCCCCACACAACACAGTCCTCAATGGCATGTCTGTTTTCTCAACAGACCACATGCCAACAGAGAGGAAGGAGCCTATCTTTCTTTACTTTGTCTTTCCAGTGCCAAGAACAGCACCTGGCACACCATCAGTGCTCAGCGTTTACTGGGCAGATAAAACCAGACAAAGACTGACGGCAAGGGCACATGCATCCTATGGGATTGTTGAAAAGTATCCATACCCCCAAGAAGTTTTGCCGCTTACTTTCAATGGCTTTGTTCTTTATAAAGAAATTTTCCAAAGTGACATCAAACAGCAAGCAAGAAAAATGTCGTACTAAGCACTGGCCGGCCTAGTCACATCCACCCCGCTGTGCTAACAGAGTCCATTACAGACAGAGATGGACACAAGGTAGCGCACAGATGTGATATCCTTCCAGGGAGAGGGGAATCAGCACCCTGTACAGATTACCGGCTGCGCCACCGAGGGTAATAAATGAAGTGAGAGGAAACAAAGAGAACAGATAAAGTGCACAGTCCTCTGTCATTAACGTCTGTCTAAAGCCAGCACATGCTACTGTAAAATTTAAGTAGCTTATCAAAATATACTGATAAGCAACTTAACTTTTCACTTCTATGACAGTATTATCACTTACGTTAATATGTTTCAATCAGCCCTGGCAGCTGCATATTGACTATTACACAGCAAATGACTGCTGCCACTTTGCACAGCATTTACTTTGGCAGAGTAATGTAAACATTCAAGAGGGATTAGGGAGGAGATAAGTTTCTCCCTTCCTATTCTGTTAAATAAACCTCGGCCGAGTTAAAAGCCATTATAGTAGGAACAAGAAATCCCTTCAGAAGAAAACTCTTGCACAGATTAGACGACTCTTAGTAAACAAATTTGACCAAGGATTACAATATTTTTTTTTCCTGAAAGCAAAATACCACTAGTTAATGCTAGCCACTGAAAGTCAAGAGGGGGTTGGGGGGAAGGCAAGAAGGGGAAATACATTCTTACAAGAAAACTGTGGCTTCAAGTCAACAAGAGAAAAATGGAATTGTTTTAGAAATATTAGGTTAAGTGATATGGGGCAGGCTGGATGCTCTGACAGTTTAGGACTACAGTATCCATCAAAGCAGTTTTGGATGGCTAGGTTCAACTGACCAACATGGCTTGGACACAGAGGCTCCAGCCTCCACGTCACCTGCTGTGAGGATTAAGGAGGGGACCTGGGAAGGAGCTCTTAGCCCACTACAGACAGCACCCTGGTTCTCACACACAGCCTCAGTCTCACAAATCAATTCATTTGGCTATGCTAAGCAGAACCACTAGCCACAAGAAATTTTGCAGTTACCCTGGAAATCAGCCATTTCTTTCTCCCTTTGGCCTGACTGGACACAACTGTTCCCCACATGTTGTCCCCTGTGCACTGACAGATGAGTATCTAGTGATGGCAGTGTTAAGGTTTTGAAACCAAAACCCAGCTGTCTTCTTCTTCAAAGGGCCCCTGTTTTCCCCTGTTGGGAGGCCAGGGTTCACAGCAGAGCTCTATCCAGCGGCGTTTCCTGTCCTGCTTCATTAGAGCCGCCACAACAGCTTGTGCAGTCTGCCAGGCTGCAGGTGAGGCTGCAGGGACCCTGCACTCCAGTCTGCGTGTGTCTGTCATCCTTGAATAAACAATCCTTCCCAGACCAATGACAGGAAACAAACACTCTAGCCTGCTGCTCCGCCCTGGACTCTAAAAGCGTGCGAACATCTCTGGTCCGCCTCTGCTTGCTGCTTTTGTGTAATGGCTTGAGTCTCCACTGTGGAGTATCACAGTGGGGACTGCCGCGGGCTCCATCCAAGGCTGTGGCACAAAAGGTCCTGCACTCAAGAAGGCTATGGTCTTCATTGGAAAGACACACACACAACAGAGTAACAGTTTGGTTGGAAGGGGCTAGAAGTCTTTCCCAAGTGCTTTATTTAGTTTAGGCTTTTGGACTGTAGAAGGTGATCATGGAGCACCGTCATGACCCAATCAGAAGACAGAGAAAAGCGAAAAGGGAACAGCCTGCTCCCCAGACACCTGCCTAGATCCAGGCTTCTCTTCCTTCTCACTCACTCTGGCCCAGGTAACTCTGTCCCAGGCTCTGCCCTCACTCCCAGGCAAAAAGAGTCAAATAGAGAGGCTTGTATTTCATGTGAGGTTATAAGAAGTTTTAAACTTGAGAAGTGTTCTCCACCTACTGCCTTCCTGACCTAGGACCCCACAGGTCCTTGTAAGGAGGGCAAAGGGAGATTCTAAAGACAGCACTTATGGTAGCAACAGCCCATAGTCAAAATCAACCTGAAAAAGCCCTTCAATTACCCTCAAAATATGGTGGACATGGTCTGTGTAAACACTAAGTAGTTAGCCTGAGTTGTGGGGTCAGATTGAATGAGAGCATCCTACGTCTAAATCTGTTAGCTGGTGAGCTGCTGGCTCTTGAACTGAACTAAGGGCATGGACTCCCTTTTTTAATCTCACTCCACTTGGGATAATAATCACTCCAACTGGTGAGTTTGTGTACACATGGATGACTGGCCTATGTAAGTTCAGCATGAATATAAAGGGATTCCACTTTGCCATAAGTATTAAAACGGAAAACCATTAAAAATTTTAAGAGCTCTCTGACTTCTCTTTCTACTAGTTCAGTTCAAAGTCATGAGATGGGACCAGGCAAAATCAGTGTGGGAGAGAGCAAGGGGCAGGGATGGTGGGAAAAGCTCACCAAGTGTAGGAAGGCAGCAGCCACCTGAGAGAATGGTGGTCCACAGCAGGACGACAGACTCAGGTGAGGAGAGGAGGCTGTCCTCCTGGAGGGACAACGTGGTACAAGGTGTTAGAGTCCAAGTGGGAGGAGAAGGGTGTCCCACTGAGGGGTGATCAGGCGTGGTGTGCTGGGGACCAAGCAGGGTGAGGGTCCTGGTAAGGGAAAGCCAGCATCTGAGCAAGATGAGAAGGGAGTCTCCATGGGGGAGGACTGCTTGAAGTTTCATGACTTAGTGGGGCAAGGAGGGGTTGAGCCTGACATGGGGTAATGACAGCATCCATGTGGAGTGGAGAGGCTGACCAGCAATGGTATTAGAACCCAGAAGACTACAAAGAACATCTAGAAGGCAGTTCAGTGTTGGATGTCAGAGCCTGAGGGGTGGAAGGGCTTCCACGAAGGGCAAGGGGGCAGCAAGGCAGAGTCCATGTGGTTGAGAATGCTGTCCATGATAGGAACGGGCAGCAGCAGCTCTGCCTAAGGTGCCACAGTCCAGACAGGGTGAGGAGGGTGGCGCTGTGTGGGAAGGAGGCTGCAGCAGAGGGCCACTGGCTACAAACGGGGAACAGATCAAGACTGA